TCCCTATTATTGATAAAACAGTTCCAATTTTCAAATGTTGGCAATTAGTTGAAATATTAAATAAAATGTATTGTAGGCCAAACCAAACATAACTGTGGCCAGATCTGCCCCGTAGGCTGCCGTGTGTGGTCTCCGCTTTGGAGCCAGAGACCTTGCCAGGAAGCGGGCTCTGGGGCTCATCATTCAGCCTCTCTGAACTCAGCCTTCACATTCATCAAATGATGGGTAGAACAATACCTTCCATTTTCTGGATAAGGATTATACATACTCTTCATGTCATTAAATGAATGTGTTTTACCAGTGTCTGATACCTAGCAAGTACATAGTAAATGGCCTTCATATTAACAAGAATCATGCATTTTTTAAACATTACCTCCCAAAGCTTAATAAACAAATACATTATCTTAGAAATGTAAAGGATTACTATGTCCACAGTTATACTTTAGGTTAAGTGTGACTACTAGCACAGAAAAGGCATGTGGTTTATTTAGATCACTTCCCTCAATTGTCCTGCCTTAGTGCCTTCTCTTTACATCCACTGATCCTATTGATGTCTGAGAGTCAAAAGGTAGAAATATACACATCATACACTAAAAGAGGCTTAGAGGAACCTTTAAACTACATCAGTAAAAACATTTATTAGAGTAACTTTTTGTGCAGTGCTTTGCTAGAAATGCTGCAAAATGAATGAAACAGACCCAGACCTAAGACATATTCCAATGACAACAGAGATTTTTTATATTTATATGAAAACGGATATAATGACTGAACAAATTAATGAAGCCACCGCCCACCCCCTACTGCAAAAAAAAAAAAAAAAAAAAAAAAAAAGAAAAAAAGAAAGAAAGAAAAGAAAAACAAAGAAAGGAAAGTGAGGGATGGAATGCCGAGATCTATTGGTAGGAAAAGAACCTGATGCACATCACATCAAGGGGAAATCATTGTGCAGTTTTTCTATTGGTCAGGGAGCTCATGAAGTATAAGATTTCAAAACTAAATAATCTAAAGAGATTTCCTGGTGAATTAACATGAAATGAATGTCCAGAGAGAGAGGAGAATGTTTCCAATAGAGTGTAAGACTTCAGCAGAGGCTTAGAGGTGGGGAAAAATGATTGGTGATGTGGATTTGAATAAATTTGCCTGGAAGGATTGGTCTTAGTGAAGAATTAAGATATGAGTGAGTGGACTATTTTGAGAACTAAATGATGTGAGGTCACACCCTTCTGTTGAACTCAGACTTGCCTTATTCAGGTAGGGTATTCCCCAGGCTTAGGAAGCCTGCCCTTGTCTCGCTGAGCACTTATTTATCTTGACTTTTTTCATGGTGTTTTTCAGTTGGTATAATTTGATCTGTTTCTCTATTCTTTTCTGTAGTCTTCCTAAGCTAGCTTTGGGTTTCTAACAGGTAAACCAGTACTGGGGATGGGAACTCAGGCAAAAGAGACCATGCAGAATTGCGTAGTTTCCAATAGGAGTTGTGGAGCTTTCCCTTCAGCTGACTTGCTAAGCCACACCCACCTTCAGTGGCCATCAACTGCTGACAAGGGAAATTGGCTCCACTCTCTCCTTCTTGGACTGTGTTCCCCTTAACCTTGCCCACTCCTATAGCTGTCTGGACTTTCTTGTCAAAATGATATTTTGTTTTCATTAGGCTAAATTTGTTCCAGGGACTTTCCCTCTCTTTTTAAAAACATCATGTCTCATGATCAATGGGGGGATAAAAAAATAAAAGGAGAGGGGAGGAAGCTAATTTCTTACAAAATCTTTGAATCTGCCAGTTTACCTCAGCAGGAATATAGGGATAAGCTGATTTGAATTTTAATAACTGACTAGCTAAACACATGCATGTACGTATATATCTACATTTTATTTAAAAAGTTTCAGGGTACCAAATGTGTTTGTCTTTAGCTGTTCTGAGTATAAGTAAAATAAAGTAAAAGGAAATATATAAGTTGATAGTATTCTGAGAGTTGGTGGTGGTGTTTACTGCTTGTATTCATCTTGCTTCCTTACCTAATTATCAGCTGTGTTGTCTTTTTCGGGAAGTTACTTAACCAAACGCTGCTTTAGTTTCCTTTACTAGATATTGGTGGTGGTGGGGTGCATGCAAAACACTTGACTATTTAATATTTGGTTATGATTATAATAAATATTATAATGTCAATGACTGAGATTGAGAAAGTATGACCCTAAAGATGGGGCTAAACAGCCCTGGTTTAAGGTTATCAAGCAATTGAGCTACTACTAAAAGCCTTTGGCCAACCATTCCTCAAATACTGGAGCATGATGGGGATATTAGTCATGGGCAAAATTTCTGCTTTGCCATATCCCATGAATGCCTAGAGGCTAAGAGGCTCTAAGATGCTAAAGGAGAACTGACCTTAGGAAGACGTTTACTGCAGGCCCAGCTTAATAATTCCAAATTCTACTAATGCAGCAAGTGATCTTTTCAAGGGGAACTCTAGTATTCAAAATTATCTGCATCTGGGTATATATTCCCTGCAGCTAAATATTATATATTTTAGATAACAACTTTTAAAAAAATCCTCACCCAAGGATACTTTTCATTGATCTTAGAGAGAAGAAAGGGGGCAGGGGAAGAGAGATGGAGCAGAGAAAGAGATGTGAGAAAGAAACATCGATTGGTTGCTTCTGGTACACACCCTGACTGGGGATCAAACGCACAACCTAGGTATGCATCCCGACCAGGGATCGAACCTGCAAACTTTTGGTGCATGGAATGATGCTCCAACCAACTGAGCCACCTGGCCAGAGATAGAAGATAATACCTTTTAGAATAATAATGACTCATGAATAAAGTGTGAGAGTCTTTTTTTTCCTCTTTCTAATTATAACTGGTGTCCAAGTAGTTCTTGAATTGCTAGATAATATTTTATGGAGTGTGAAGTTAGAGAATTTAGCAAGTGGCCTCACATTGCCATTGACTTAATGGGTAATTTCAAACACATTTGAGAAAATCGGGAAGTTGGGTGCCTTGTACATACATTTTCATTGAAATTTATGGCCATTTCTGGGCACAATCACACCAATAATGCATATCTATATGTAGTTTACCAGGTTAAGCAACTATGGTTTTGGATTTAATTGCCAACTGATTAAGAGTAATTCCAGACTCGGGAATAACAGAGCCAAGGGGCCTGCTCAGGGTGTTACTGCTGCCTATGAAAACAAATAAAATGCTTAGGGTTTAATTGGAGGACTTATAATTATACCTATAGCAGGCTAATGTTAAAATGGAAACATTGAACATCTGGAAGATGAGTCTAGATTTGGTCACTTGCCTTTGGGAATGTAAACCTACAAAACTGTGACTGTCCAAAGGAGCGGTGATGCTCACACCTGGGGTCCGCACACGAGCAGAGATGGCAAAGATGGTCATGAACTGGTCTGCAGAGCAGAATAATTCAGGAGAGATAAATGGAATGGTGTATTGTAAGGAATCTAGGATGATGACTGACTTCTTTGGCTGTAACATGAAAAGAAGTCATTTAAAAGGAGGAGTAGGTACATAAAAAATGTGTTCTTCCTTGGTAAAAACACACATGGTCACTGGACCTCACAGGCACACAGGATGTGAGCTGGCATCAAAGAGTTCGTTTAGGAAGAGAATGACTGAATCACCACCCACGATTATGCAGACTCGGTAGGATGGGCCTGGAAGGGAGTGTGTAGAGCAAAAGATATAGAGTAGCATTGATAGTTTTGTGCATCATTTTTTTCCTCACACTCTTCTATCACCAGTGCCAAATAATCTCTTTCTCTCTCTCTCTCTGTCTCTCTCTCTGTCTCTCTCTCTCTCTCTCTCACACACACACACACACACACACACACAAATTCATCCTCTCAAGTACATGTGAAATGTTAATTAGAGAGACAGGACCCTTGTTTCCATTATTTTTCTTTCCACCATTATGAAAAGAAAGGTTTTTTTTTTTGTTTTGTTTTTAATTTATTCCTTATAGGATTTAGGAATAACTTTGAGAAAACTGCCTCTATCCTTTATAGCAGATCCCATCTAAGAACTAGTTTATGTGGTTTATGAATAAAATTTCAGGCTTTTTAGCATATTTTCTATTCTCTCTTTCTCCATAAAAAAAGATAATTTCAATGTCTCTCAGTTACTAAGATTTCACTCTACTTGGTATAGCAAAATTTAAATTACACAACTTAGATTCCTCTAGAGTATAACTCCTTAAAAAAAGAGAGCACAGCTTGAATGTGGTCTAGAAGCAAGAGGAAATGGGGTGGAAAACTAGTAAAAGATTGGTTTAGAAGGCTTAATACTTATTAGCTGGCAGCCCATTGCTTCTCCCCACTTGTTGGGAGACATTGCTGGGAAAGGTGTGTGTAAAGAATGAAGCAGTTGATGAATACTTAGCCATGGTATAAAAATCAAAAGGAAATAAATATGACTATATCTTGGTCTGTTAATATTCAAATATTAATACCTACTTTTCTTTTAGAGACATTACTGAATATTTACTGACAAAAAAATGATGGTTTGGGAAAAGAAACATGTTCAAGAAATGCATTTAAATGAGATTTAAATGACATGTGGTTTGCTTTACTCATGGTAACAGCTGACTAATTGAAATGAAGTTCCCATCCAAATGTGCCTTCTACTTTAGAACTCATTGGAAAAAATTTCTAAAATGCATGACAATGTTTCACAGGACTGACACGTGGTCTTATTTTCCAAAGGTTTGGATTTAATATTTGAATGCAATAGTATTTGACTTTTTTAGCACATAATATTTAAACTTAAAAAGAAAACACCCTAGTTTATTTATGCATAAGCCCATTAAAATATTTCTAAGGGCTCCTGCTATGTTTATTCTCTAGAACATAACCTATCACTGAAGTGGTATATTAGTTTTTAAGAAGTCATTCCCACACTGAGTAATTAGATCAAAAACAAAAGCTATTCTTAGAATTACATTTCACATATATGCTCTAAATGCTTTGATCCAAATAATATTCTCATAAAACTTTGTGATGGTTATTCCGTCGTGAAACAATCCCCCGCCTCTGCCCAATTAAACCAGAATTAGGAGCACATATCTGATGAGGCTTAAACTTCTCAACTGCCTGCTTCAGAAGTAAAGACCTTTATTGGTTGTGTTCATTTGTCTCTGCATAGAGGGCTCAAATGAGAACAGAATCAATTCCCTTAAGTTTTTCTGGAAGAGGAAGGTTGTTTTTGTTGCTTTGATCTTAGCATGTTGTGCATTTTTTATTGGCTGTTGAATATAAAAAGCCATAACCTCATCTGGTTTTTCTCCTATATTCTCATACTATAAGTCACATAATGCCCTCCAACCTAAAGTAAAATGCCCAGGTCCAAAATATCATTTCAAAATTGATTTATCATTGTGGCTGATAGAAAGATTTCCAGGGTGTAAAACAACTATCCAATATTTGATTAATGTGCCACAGACTGCTAAAAATATATCCATGCACTTTACGCAACAGATTCTAGGATGTAGACATTCACTCATGCTATTTTAGATCCCTTTTCCTATCATTGTGAGAGGCTGTTGGAACTAATGTAGCAGCTGGCTAGGTTATTGCTTCTATAATATAATCCATAATACAAAAGCAGCTCTTTTCCAAACACTTTAGAGCAACTCAAGTTGTTTACATGTCTCTGTTAGGTAATTTTCCTATAACTTTGTGCCAATTGGTGTCATACTATTTGGTAAAAGCCTTCATTAAGTCAAGACAACTGCATTTAGTTAAATTTCTCTCATGCAGAGAATTAGAGGAAAATTACAGTCAGCTGATTCAAGGCCATCATCATGAAGTAAATACAGTGTTTTAGAAAATGAATGCAAACTACAAAAATGGAGTTGTATAATTAAACATCAAATAGTCCAAGTAATAAAAGTCATAGATTAATTGTCTCTCAGTTCTAGTCAGATCCTTTAAATATTGTCTCACGACCTGAGCGTTGGTTCTTTCATCAGAAGAGTGCCTGTCCTTAAAGTTTGGAAATTTCAGCTCTTTTGGAGCACCAATCAGCTGTAAGAAGTAATTAGCATCTTCTTCCAAAGTTTCAAATTTCCCAACAAAATCATAGTTGATCAAACATGGATAGCAGAGTTTGCTCACCTTTTCCCAGTGAATGTCCATGCCTACTGGACGGTGGGAATCCAGCAAGTAGTGGACAAACTCTTTGAATTTGACTCCCGATCCATTATTTAGTGCTTTTTCACAGGCATTTGGCCGATATTTCTTTATAATCGCTTTCCCAAATACTGGATGGTAATAACTATTGGGGTGTTCAAATTTGTCCCTGAATGCTGACACTAATCTTTCCATGGGGTCACGAACAAACACAGCTTTGGTGTAGGTATTCAAACGAGTATATATCCCTTTTAAGTCAAAGCTGTCTAGCTTTTTCAAGTGCTTCCCGTAATGAACAGCATCATGGGAAATGTTGTATGCCGAGGGAGCCAATCCATTTAATACCATCAGAACTCTTTTCCAGTTGGAACAGCCAGCCTTTGGTACTTCACAATATAAGATTTTGTGTTTATCTTCCACATAGATCCTGGATACCATGTGAAAAAGATGTGATTGAGGATGACTCACTCCACCATATTTCTTGCAAGACTCCTGAAGGAAAGACCTACGTTTCTCTTGGGTTGCATCAGTCCCCTTCCATTTGTTGTCTTTGACTAAACTTTTGTTTAAAGGGCGAATGTCCAATGGCCAACTCATTTCTCTGAACTTCTTGAAAAGGGTCTTAGTTCCTTGATGTTTTTCAATCAACTTAATCGTTGGTGGCTCTGTGGCCTTCCCTAAAGGTGGACCCTCTCCTTGTGAGTGACTGGTCTCTGTTAGGACCCTAGTAGACCTCTCAGAGTTAAGTAGAAGATTTTCCTTTTTTTCCGTGGGATCCTTGAGCATGTGGAACTTGAAATTCTGTTAAAATAGAGGAGAAATGTTGAAAACACATTTACAAATGTGGGTATACTGATAAGAGTGTTAACACATTTGTTTTAAAATACTACCAGGGAGAGCACATTTCATATAAGCTACTAGAACAATTCAGCAAAGCATACCAAATATATATTTTGTAGTAAGCTTCTTCACAGAAAACATAACAATAAAAAATGGTATCCATGCATCATTTTGAACTAAAGCTTTACATTATATTTTATGTATATTTGGGCTACTTATATGTTATTATTCATTTAATGCTAATGTGCTGCCTTACACTTATAGATTTTCTCATGTTAAATTATCTGAATTACACTATTGGGATAAAGTGCAGTTATTTATTTGAATCTATTGTCTTGGCCAAAAGGTCCATTTAGTTTTTCCTGTAAAATAAAGGACACATTTTTCATTTTCACGAATAACTTTACTGATTTGGATATTTTGAATATGTTGTCTATCTCCTGCTATTGGCTTCTAGTATATAGAGTCCAAGTGTGTTGCTAAACATCTTCTAATGCATAAGACACTCCACAGCAAAGAATTATTTTGCCAAAATGTCAGTAGTACCAAGAAACTTTGCAAACCAGATTTGACATGCTCGATCAGTCACAGCATCTTCTTCATACACTACACAAATTTTTCTTTTGCATTTCAGTTGTGTTTTTACATTTATTGAAGTAATAAAACATAATACATGGAAAATGTTGCATATTTTTCTTCTATCTTCAATATTAAAATGACTGCACAAAAATTCACTAATTTTGATAAGTTTTTTTAAATGCATGTTGATACAGCAATCTAACAAAAATTGTTTCAAGTGAAGTTAAAGACAGCTAAACACTACTAGAGCCACCATACAATAAAAAAATTAGATGAACTTGTTGGCCAACCCAATATGTTCATAGTAAGCTCATTATTGTTTTTGTACTATCTTTGCATCTATGGTTATCAATGACATAATCTTTCAAAATGCCAAAAAAGAAAAAGGTATCCACAAGATGGATATGAAGGGACCCTGAATGTTGATCTTAGCTTTGCCTGTAAGGCAATAGAATGTAATACATTCTGTAGGTCAATGATCCTTTAGCTGGTAAGGAGTATTACTTTCTAGCACTTAGTCTTCCTGGATGTAGATACAAATGTAACTGTATATGAATGGGCATTTCTGTTGTTTTTGAGGCATTCTGTAATAACAGTTCAAAGTCATAAATTAAAACTTAAAATTGTAGCAAGGCTAATTATAAAATCCTGATAACCACTTTAGTTTTTTTCCCCCCTTGGAAGATGTTTTATTTTTTATAAATGCATTTATCACAATTTAGAAACCATAGTCATGTTATCATACAATTTTATTTATGTGGAGGAATCAAGATGGTGGAGGAGTGAGTAGAAGTCACACTGACCTCTTCCCAGGACCAACCTGGAATTACAACTAAATTGTGAAGAAATCACCTGGACCAAACAACTGAACAATAGCAAGAGAGGAGCCTTGTAACCTAGGAGACAGAAGAATCAGTTTTAGCACAATCTAACTGGTAAGGAGTGTGGTAGAGACTCAAGAAGGGGGGCAGGGCGCCCAAGGGAAGCAGCACGAGAAGGATATTGAAATGGCCAGTTGGATCCCTCTGAGAAAAGTGAGGTTTAAACCCAAAGCGGAGATCTCTAGCCTACAGCACCAGAGCTTGAAAAGTACACAGATAACAACCAGATGTGAAAATGGTAGGGCTGCTCTCTGCCAGAGAGAGGTGGCTGGAGATGCAAAGAACCATTTAAAGGGCCAACGCATAAATTTTTATTTGCAGCCACTTACTCTGGTCTCTGGCAAACGTCGGGGCAGAGTGGCCTAGAGACACCTGAGGAGAAACTGGGGAAGGAAGCTTTGGGGAGAGAACTGAGAGAATAGTTGGTGGGATCTCTGTGCTGACTCATCCCTCATGCAGCAGTAGCCATCTTGCTCAGGCACAGACCACTCCTGTAAGCAGCAGCACCATCAGAGGACCCAATAGTCCTGTCTCCAGGTGGGGTTCCACCTTGCCCTGTGCTGTCTAAGCCACCTGCTGAGTGCAGAGTGGCAGCCACAGATAGTAGATCCCTGGCTAAAGGGGCGCAGAAAGGTCTGCAGATACTTGAGGAGAGACTGGGGATGGAGGCTTTGGGGCGAGAATGGAGAGAGTAGCTGGTGGGATCCCAGTGCTGACTCATCCCCCATATTGCAGCAACATGAGGAGACCCAACAACCCCACCCCCAGGAGGGACTCTGCCCCACCCTGAGCAGTCTAAGGTGGCCTGCTGAGTGCAGAGTGACTAGATTAACTTCTGAAGGAGACAGCCACTGACAGTAGATTCCTGGAAGTCTTGAACAGACTGCCTAAGGTCAGACAGGGACAACATCTGACATCATCAGAGGCAGATCCAGAAAGTAAAAACAGTGGTCTCCTACCATAGAAGTTCACACCACAAGTCAGGAAATCAAGACAGATCAACTTAAGAAGCAGAAGCAAAAAATAAAAAATAAAAAAGAGTCTCACAAATAATAAGAAGACAAAGAAATACCCCTCACTCGAAGGGAATGGAGGAATCCCCAGAAAGAAAACAAAATGAAATAGAGGCAAGTAAACTATCAGATATTGAGTTCTAAACAATGGTTCCAAGGAAGCTCAATGAGCTCAGTGAGCTCAGAGAGAATTACAAAAACTACAGGGAAACTATGAGGAACTTATCTCATGGTGATGCAAACTATATCACCATGAAAATGGACATAGAAACTATCAATAAGAGACAAGAGGAAATGAAGAATACCATTTCCGAAATGAAGAATACAGTAGAAGGAATCAAAAGCAGGCTAGATGAAGCATAGGATCAAATCAGCGAGCTGGAGGACAAGGTAGAAAAAAGCTCCCAGAAAGAGCAAGAAAATGAAAAAAGACTAAAAAAGAATGAAGAGGCATTGAGGGAAATGCAGGACAACCTGAAACGTAATACTATTCTTATAATAGGGATAAAAGAAGGAGAAGAGGATGAGGAAGGGAATAGAGAATGTGTTTGAAAAAGTAATAATGGAAAACTCCCCTCATTTGAGGAGAGAAAAAGTCACACAAGTCCAGAAAGCACAGAGGGTCCCATTCAAGAGGAACCGAATGAGGCCCACTCCAAGACACATCATCATTAAAATGGCAAATATCTAAGACAAACAGAGAATCCTAAAGGCAGCAAGGGAGAAGGAGGTAGTAACATATAAGGGAGCCCCGATATGGCTAGCAGCTGACTTCTCAACAGAAACACTGCAAGCCAGAAGAGAGTGGCAAGAAATATTTCAAGTCATGAAAAGGAAAGGCCTGCAACCAAAACTGCTCTACTCAGCAAGGCTCTCAATTAAAATGGAAAGTGAAATAAGGAGTTTTCCCAGACAAAAGAAGGCTCAAAGAAGGCTGGTTTTCCACCAAACCAGCACTGCAAAATATGCTAAAGGGACTGCTTTAAGATGAAGAAAAATAGTCTGTGAATACCCAGTTCCTTTCATAGTTGCCAATACTGATATTACCAATATTTTTTAATATGTATTAATCTGATTGTGACAATGATGTGTTATTTTAATTGTTCCTTTATTATTTGTTGAAACTAAACCTGTTTTTGTATATTTCTTGCCTATTTCTATTATTTTTAAAAAACTTTAAATGAATTTTTGGTATTCTTTATTTTTTTTATTAAGTGATTGTAGAATTTTTTTCCCTAAAGAAAATACAAAACAAGCCATTAACCCTTTTTTAGATGTGTTGCAAATACTTTTCTATTCTTTGTCTTTTAACTTTTTTTATATGTATATTACTGAACAGTCTTAAATGTTTAATATAGTCATATTGTCAATATTTTACTTTATAACTTCTGGATTTGAATATTTTACTTCAGGGTAAGAAAAATATTAGTTTGTATTTTCTCCTAAAACTCCTTAGATTCTGCATATCAATTTTTAACTCACCTGACTATTTCTTGTATAATGTGTGAAATAGGGCTCTATATTTGTTTTATTTCAAGTAATAGTGGTCCATGTACCTTATTTGTTGAATAAACTTTATTTTACCCATTGATTTGAAATATTAACTTAATCATATATTACAATGTTAGACAGATATATACGTTTGTCTCTAGAATGCTCATTATATTTCATTGATCTACTTGATTATTTCTGTGCTGGTGTCATGTTGGTTTAATTGCTGAGACTTTATAATGGTTTTAAATTTTTTAATATTTTATAATTAACTTTGACATTTAAAAAATAAATAAAATCAATCTGCATTTAAGAAAGAAAGAGAAAGAAAGAAAGACAGAAAGAAAGAAAGGAAGAAAGAAAGAAAAGATAGAAATGAAACTCCTACCTTTTGCAACAACATGGATGGAACTGGAGAATATTAAGCTAAGTGAAATAAGCTGGTTGGTGAAAGACGAATACCATGTGATCTCACCTATAAGTGGCCTCTATTCAACAAAATAAACTAACAAACAAAATAAACCACAGGCATGGAAACATGGAGTAGACTGAAAATGACCAGAGGGGATGGGGAAAGAGGACAATGGTAGAAAGAAGGGGAAGGGACTAGACAGGAACATGTATGAATGACCCATGGACATGGACAACACAGTGGGAATTGACTGTGGGAGCAGGGGGTGGGGGTTGATGGGTGGAGAGGGGTAAAGGGGGAAAAACTGAGACAACTGTTATAGAATAAACATGATTTATAAATTTTTAAAAAAATAAAAAAAATTAAAATTAAAATTGAAATCCAATTTCATTTATGTATGAGACCTTCCCTCTTTTCCAAGTGAAGAATGACTAAAGAATCCAGAAACGTCTACTTGATGTCCTTCCATATAAAATTGTATCCAAAGTAGAATTAGAAATGAGTTCTCTTGTCAGTGACATGAGTCAACCCATCTACCATCTACTCTTCATCTGACTACATCCTTCCTACAACTTTCACAGTTAA